GGGAGGGTGGGAGGAGAGGGGGAGGGAGGAGAGAGGGGAGATTTTGTATCACTACCACAATGTCTAATCTCAAAAAAGATATGACTCAAATGATTACTAAAAAGTGATTTTTTTTTTTTTTTCTCATTTCACACTCATATGTCTTCACCTAATGAATTAGGTATCCCTCTTCTGGGCAACCTTACAGTACCTCATGCATATCTCTACCATTAAACACCAAAGTGTCCGATAATCATCTGTTTCCTTTACGTCTGTTACAAAGCTATAAGCATCTTGAAGCCAGGACTGTCTTATTCATGTGTTATGTCCCCAAGTGCCCATCAATTACATAGAAAGTACTTAAAGTGCTAAAGGTCCCATATAATACTAGATCATCTTTTCTATCATCTTCTAAATATCTATCTTAAGATAAAGCTTTGTTGAAAATGAAAAGTTATAGAATCCCAGAGTCAAATGGGACCATACAAAGGTCAAATAGTCTATCCTCTCATTCATCAATACCATATGTGTACTAATATTCTCTCTGTCCCAAGAAAAATGTAGGAAGGAAAAGTGAGATATATCTGATCATCCATTAATTGATTATTGCCATCATAAAGAAACATGGAATTTCAGAATTAAGAAAATGAGGCTTATAAAGTCAGACATTGTGGTAAACTTAGTTCCCTTCACCTTTATACCTAAGAATAAAAAACAAACAAAAAACTGGCAGTTTGACAACCTGTAAAATTCTAATTTTAAAAGTTCAGTTCTTCAAATAAGATAATGTACACCCCCAAAACAAAGAGCAAATCTGATATAAAAATTTTTTTTTTATAGTTTTCAGCATATCAGGTCTACCAGTTGTGAGAGATATTTTTAACAGTCAAAATAACATGATAAAGTTAAGCAAAGTTAAGGCCACGCTGAGTGTAAGCAACATATAAAAAATAGCAGCAAAAAGAAAAAAATCTGTATGGGATAAAACAAGTAAAGCCTTTTGATGAGCAAATCAGAAAAAGTCATCTTTTTAAAGCCTAAAAATCCTGTCAACTCTAAAACTGGCTCTACTCAGTCAAACATATGTACGTGCCAAATTTTGTAAGTAGTACTACTAACATTAGTTGTTAGATCAACAAACAGCTTACATGAAGAAAATTGTTTCCATACTTACAAAGCATCCATAAGTCACAACTGTGCCCTTTTCAAAGACTGAATTCTAAAACAAAGGCTGACGGAAAAAAACTTGTCATGAGGGTGCACAAATTAGGGTGTTATAACACTATAAGCCAAAAAAGGAAGCTCTTTAAATGAGCAGTGCACAAAACTAGTGTCTGTCTCTACAACTACAAGCAGAGTTGGCTTTAAAATCTTCAGTTTATACCTTCTCTAAATCAGTCCATTTGCCTACTATGCTTAGTTTTTAGGCTCTAAAATATCAAGTCCCTCCAATAGCACATTACTAAAAAGATTTTTTTTAAACTTTTCTTCTTCCATGTGAAAACCAACGTGTGCCTTCAAAAAGTAATCAACAGTTCATTTTCACAACCACTGTTAAATTATTATGCAAATTCTCTCTCTTGTATCAGGTGTACACATTACCTAGCTTCAGTATTCCATAGAGCTTTGCCTAAGTAGATCTGCCTCTATGGAGGTACAAATATTCTCAGTTCTTAACATAAATTAAGTCAGGATAGGTTTAAGTCCCCTCCAACTATTTTCTCACCCAATTGTAAGCAGCATCCACAATCCTCCTTAATGGAAATGAATAGTACACAAATTCAATCTAGAATCTTGCATCAATTTAAAGAGGTCATATCATTAAGAACTGTGTCTTAGACCAAACATCTGGGGAGTGGGGATACAGAAACAGTGCACATTAGATAACACGCCATTTGTCACACTATATTCTGTGTAAATCTGAAACTTTCACTAAAGTGTGGAAATGTGGTGAATTGGTAGTGCAAATTCTCAGCCTATAAGAGGCATTCATTCTCATCAATGAAAACTTTGCCTCGCTCACAACCAACTACCCTTGACTCACCTACACATTTAACGGGATTCTTTTCTTCTAAATCACATTATCCAAGAAATGTGCACACATCTCTCCTTTTAATAAATACTAGTAAAACTTCAGTTTAAAATTTCATGAAACACAGAACCAATCTTTGAGCAACCATAAGTTTTGCTTTTCCACCTTGCTCACCAAGTAAGAGCACTCGAATGAATAATGCCCCACGGTGTCTTAATACTACTAAAGACATTTAGAGCTAATCTCCAAAGACTGGTGGCCTTATTTTCTCACATCACCGCCTTCCATTATTACTTACGTCGATTTCTCCTGCACGAAAGGCAGACTTCCCCTGCCCCCTCCCCCACAAGTAGGCTTCTAGTCTCTATAGCTGGGAAACAGAACTTACAAAGAGAATATTTCCCAAATGCGTGTGACAGGAAAACTGTAACATAACACGGGGAAGGAAGAGATGGGGAAGTGGCGTGGCGCTGCTTTGATTAGAACAGTCGGGGCACAATAGATTCAATCAAGCATTTAACACGTAAATCTAGGTCCTGGGGACTAACAGGGATTGCTAAAATAAGCATGGACGGTGTGAGACGTCCCACAAACTGGAAGGCAGCATGAGGCTCAATCCAAAGAGACCCAGAGGTTGCCAGGGCAGAACGGGGTCGGAGGACCAAAGAAAACTGACTGTAGGGGATGCTGCGGAGGGGTGGGCTAACATGGTGCCTTAGCCAGGGTGGCAGGCGATGAGGAGCTGACCCGAAGGCTTCGTTCCGTCGGTTTCTGGTCCCTAGGGTTTCTGGGCTTACAAGTTTCACCAGGAAAAAAGGAAGCGACTAACGTGCATCCCGGCATCTTAACCCCGGCCCAGAAAAGTCCGCGATCTCGGCTTCCTCCGCGAAAGAGCGAAGAAGTAACGGTCCCAGGAGCTAATCCGGAGGAGCCCCGCGCAGGAAGCGCCATTGGAGACCCCCGGCCATCTGCGCGGCTACCCGCGCGGACGCGGGGGAGGACAGCGGGCGGCCGCCGCGGCCCGGCCCTTCAGCGGCCTCGCCCCGGGCGCGGCGAAAAGTTTCCAGCCAAAGTCCACCGCACCCGCTCGCGCAGCCAACCGCCCAGCATAACCGCCTGGTCGCTCCGGACAGCGGCCCGCGCGTTCACGGCCACCGTCAAGCCTCCTTCAGCCCGCGCCGGCCGCCGAGGTTCACCTACCACAGAGCCGGGAGAAGAGCAGCAACGGGAAGAGCAGCAGCAGCAGCAGCGGTGGCGGCGTCGGGGGCGGCAGCAGGAGCCCGGCCCCAGGGGGAGAAGCGGAAGAAAGTTGTGCTTTGCCGCCTCCAGGACACGGTGGGGCCAGACCCAGGGTCCGCGCCATCCCCCACCCTCCCCCCGG